CGCACACACACACACACACACACGGGGGAAGTGGGAAATGGTCGTTTAAACAGACGATTGTCTTGGACAGGTGACCGTTAGAGCAAGTAAAAAGCATTATGATACATGTAGGTCTAGTCTAATAGCCTGTCTCAACGGGTGAGGGGAAAAGCACATATGCTGTGGCCGAGTCTTCGTATCATGAAACCCAACATTATTAATTGCTTCCCGAAAGCATGTCCTTTTTTTGTTGCTCCTATCCTTTCTAATAGATGTTTGGTTGGCGTGGCATTGCGATTAGTCACAGCTGTAAATGATGTCTGAATCATCAGTGGAGTCCCTCTGCCAGAACCGTCAGTAGGCCATACTTTTCATCGGCGAAAGAGGTGTAAATTCATGTAAATGTTTGTTAACAGGACAGGAACGACGAATTAAAGCGAAGTAACTTACTATTTTTCTTATTCTACTGAATGGATGTGAGTAGTAGTAGTAGTAGTATTTACAATTTTAAAACGTTGTAGTTGTGCATTTCAGCAAATGACGTGTTCCGTTGGCTTACAAGACATCAAACATATTTGACGTGGCGCTTTCTAAAAAAAACCTCTGTCCATATTTTATCTCTTTTATAACACAACAGTGGTCGTTGTTCCAAAGTGTGATGTGGCAGGAAAACACTGAAGAAGAACAGAACTAGTCATTTTGTAGTTAATACTACGTAGTTTATTTCGTATTTCTGAGTTAGGATAGCGTTCTTTGACTTTGTCACAAACTTTTAAATGATAAACATATTATTAGGTCCCGACAACTAGTATTGTTCATAAAGGGACCAGCCCAGCAACGCCTCATTATGATCTACGAGGATCTCTGTTGTGGCCGCCGCCCGCCGTGGGTGTGGGTAGATGTTTGGAGGCAGGAACAGTAAAAAGATACACAAATGATGGCAAGATTTTGTCAGTGCGCTTTGATGTGACAAATCAATGGGATTTGCTATTCACCCGGTGTGCCGTCCCAGACAACATCTTGAGTCGCATTTCTTTAGAAAGGATCGGCTTCATGTCATGAGCGAAACGTCCAACAGACTTGACGTCTTCTTCGCCTTTCACCTCGACTTTGCCTTGTATTCACAAGCTTGCATTTTATCTTTTTTTTCTGTTTTTATTTTTTTAAAAGAAAAGAGGAAGATGTGTGTGTGTGTGTGTGTGTGTGTGTGTGTGTGTGTGTTTGTGTGTGTGTGTATGTATGTGTGTGTG